CGGCGGGAGCGCCGCCGCGCTTCCCAAGCGGCGCACTATAGCAGTGCGCCACCGGGCCGGCCCTAAAATAAAATATTTTTAAAAAAATAAAAATAAAAAATAAAATAATAATGCGACCGTAAAAAGAGCACTTCATTTCTTTCCTCACCCTTCCTTGCACTTGCCTGTATTAATTGAAGTTCACCCTCCACTTTGACTCTGTCTGCAGAGATGTCCACTTCTGGGGCACTGGCCATAGCTTCACACCGCTCTAACCAGGTCAAAAAGGATGACAGTTCTTTTTCTAGCCTAAAGAAGGAGAATAAGAAAGAAATTCATCCAAAATTATCATGCTACAAAACTAAACCTTTCTGAAATTGGAGGGTTCAACGCAAACCATCACATACAGTACAATGTTGGTTATTTTACTCTTAGATGTGCGGGCACGAAAATCAGTCCTTTCGTTTTCACCTGTGTACTTGCACACATGTTTCTATCTGGGTTACATGTAAGGATATACACAAGGGTACTTCAAAAAGTTTATGGAAAGATCCGTATTATCTTTTAATTCTATTTTTCATGAACTTTTTGAAAGGGCCTCATATATCCTTCTCCACTCTCAGGGATCTTTATCTCATAGTGAAGACCAGCATCTTCCCATAGTAGACACATGAGTTCACATATTTTACATCTGGGATAATCATTCCCCATTGCTTAAAGAAGAGTCAGTCCAGAATTTCCTATTTAATAGTGGTGGTAACTCATAGAACAAATGCTGCTCACCTCTGCCAGTGGGCCAACAGATTCTCCAGCACAGTCTGTCTCTCTTTGGCCCTACTAAGTGCCATCTCATATTGCTGCTGTAGAGCCAAGGCCTCCTGAACACAGGGTTCTCTGCTGACGACCTTCCGGGCACTGGCTGCAAAGGCAGCGATTGAGCCACTCAGGGACTCCAGGCCCTGACAGAGATCCTAAGGAGAGCACAAAAGGAATCCAACGAAAGCACAGGGTTGAGCAAGACCTCTGTTTTTCTTCGAGACTCTTCATCACAATATATTTTCCCTCAGTCACAATAAACAGCAGTGGTACTAAAAAATGACTTTGCCCGTAATTTCCAACAAGACATGGTGAAAATGGGGAAAAACATGAATCCAGAAATCAAAAATGAGAATGGAGAGTCTTTCCTCAAGTAAGAAAGTTCTGCTGTATTTCTGAATAATTTCAACTTTCCCTTATGATCAGATAATATGTGAAAACTAGTATCCATTTTATGCTAAATATGTATTTAAAAACCCTATTCATTGTTTATAAAAGCTACATGTAACATGCTATAATCTCTATAAAATTATACATAAAAAGTTATGGCTGAAATAGCTGCTGCAGGATCAATGATAATAATGAGAAGTTGCCTCAGAATGTGGCAGGTGCTGTGTTATGCACATTGCATGGATTAACTCTTTTAACCTTCATAAGAAATCTAAGAGGTGTGTTCTTTCATTATCCCCATTTTATAGATTAGAAAATTAAGACGGAGAAAAACAACTAGCTTTAGGAAATCTAAATATTACAAAAAATAGAATGTTATCCTCTCTGGTACTCTATTGTTAGCTGTCTATTAAAACAACTTCATCAAATTGTTACCTTGCTTTTCCTCAATTTTTTTCTTTTTTGGTATTTTTTAAAAAATCACATAAGTAACACAAAAATGCATTGTCATTATAAATATTCCAACAACATAAGTCCCACTCCCCTTTCCAGATGTGTCAATCATTTGCTTGTGTAAACATCACTGTGCTCCCTTTCTCTGAGTTTGTGTACATATGTGCACACAACACACATCCAACAGGGATAGTATTTATATTTTTGCTTTTTAATTAACACGTTTCTTTTTAGTATTTCTTTGTGCATGATTCTCCTCTTGGCTTCTCCCCTTAGATTCTGCTGAAGCCATCTGTTTTTCGCCTTGTGAAAAACTCGCAATGATCAGTTCAGAGACCAAATCAAAAAAGCCAGTCCTTGGAAACAAGTCAGTGAGAACACAGTCTTTGCACATCTGAGTGTAGTGAGTTAAAACCTGAAATCTGCTGTGCACATACATGTTTTTCTTGCACATTTAATTTTTTATAATGATTGCAAAAGGGTTCATTAGAGCTATAATCTGAAAATATTTCATGCTGTAAATAAAAGAGAGAAATATATTTTAAATGACTACTTCTGTAATATACTTTTAAATGAAAACTTATTTGCATACTACGTTTCTTGTGTTATTTGAAGTGAGTACATTTGACCTATAGAATTCCTCAACTAGCATAAAAACCTTTCCAATTTTAATTCTCATAAAAATATTTACTCCATTTTCTTTTCAAGCAGGAAATATCAAATTTTTCAGTTGATAAATGAGTAGAAATGTTGAAGCCTACTCTTACCATATGTTCTTGGAGAACTTTGAATGTTTCTGTAGCTGAAGGACATATTTTAATTGGATCTGCAAGTTTATCTTCAAATCCAGACACAGATTGTTGGAGCTAAAACATTGGTGAAACATAAAAATAATGATGGGAAATATAAACATTAAACCTAAACAGATTATTAAGAAAGCAGCATACCTACCTTCTATAGATAACTTTCAATGTGAAGATAAAATACATTTTAAAAAAATATAAAAATATAAAATCAGTGTCATCCATTATTTGAAAGATATTAACCTGTAATGACTATCTGAACACATTGTATAATGACATTCTTATATTCACCCCAGAAATGTACCATATAAATAATTATAAATTTAGTCATAATTGATAGCCTGGAAAATGATTAGAAAATTTTTTTTCTTGTTCCATTATCTGTGCAGTATTTATTGCATTTCCCTATAAATGCAAAGTGAAATATGAAACTTAAGAATGCATGGACCAATTCTTACCTTTTTAAGATTCTCTTCAAACTTTTGCTGCTGAGATAAATGTCCTAAGATTGTTACTTGCAGACACTGTGCATGCTCTCGGAGTTCTTCCCAGTATCTTCTTATCTGTGTTAACTTGGCTTTGATTCGAGCAGATTCTCCAGTGGTAATAAATTGAGCAAAAGATTGAGCTGCTTCTTCTAATTCTGTAATGCTGATGATCTTACTTTCTATTTCCTGAATTGTGACCTAACATTCAAAACAAGAAAAACAACAATGTGGGTGAGCAAGCTTGCCTTCCTTAAATGATGTAATTATCTGCAGAGAGAGAACACCAGGAAAATTCCCTTAACTGACATTTCAGCATACTTGGATGGTTAGAGAGCAGCTATGAACAAACACACGTTTTCTGAACTCATTTGGGGATGATAGATAGGCAGACAATGTCTGGAAAACACAAACTGATGGGGGTTGTGCTTACTGGATAAAGAATAAAGAGAAATAGCTACCTCTGTTTGCAGTGAAGTCAGCAAGATGATGTCCCTGGAACTCTTACAGTATCTCTGAAGGCACAATTATCTGCTTATCCTTTCAATCAAGCATTTTAATCAACTGATTTGGGGAAGCAGTGTGTTCCAGTAACTCATAGGAATGCTAATATTGACATTCATTTAGTTTTTCTAAAATGTAGTTCAGTTTTTTATATTTTACTAAACTATAAGGTTTTCTGATTGCATTCCTACTTGAAACCAATCGGTTCAAACTCATTATCCATTCTTCATGCCAGTGGTTTCCAAATTTATAATGCATTAGGATCACTGGCTCCCACCCTCAGGGATTCAGGCTCACTAAGTCTAAGGTGGAACCCAAGATTTTAAATTTTCTAACAAATTCCTAGGTGATGCTGCTGCTACTGACCTGGGGACTCCACTGCTTTACTCATTAGTTGTGTACTTTACAGTAAAAAGCCTACATACCATAATTTCAATTTGGGGCAGAAAGGGTATTTCATATGTTAGCCGACTCATAAGTACTGATAGCTGCTAAGGATATGTGTGCATACATGTGCGTTGGGAGGGGGGGAGTGTGTCTCCTAAACACAGAGGCTTCTTTAGGTATAAGAAAATAAAAATTATTTTTCTGAGAAAAAGGGCCATTATAAATATTCCAACAATGTAATTTAATTCAATTAAATTACTGCTAAAAGTTCAGACAAGTCTGAGTTTCAAATACTTTAAGTAGAAAATACTGGTACCCCAGAAAAAAATAAATTTGTAACTTCTGTCCAGATGAGACAACATAGTCAGAAATAACTTCCGTCTGGATGAGACAAACAGAAATAATTTGCATCAGATTGTCAGGCACACATCACTTATGTATTTTTATTTTTTATATGTGGAACTATAGTGGTAGTTTTGAAAGATATTTGTTGTTTGAGCATTAATACAGCCTTTATTTTGCTGTTTTTAAGATCACACTTTTTTAGAGAAAATACTCATAAATTCAACAACTCTATATTGAGTGTCTACCATGTGTTTAATTGTACCAGGTGCGTGAACATATCAGTGGTCAAACAATCTTAGTTAAGAACAAAGTTTTTAGTTCTTAGAGTAATACATGTCTTCAACGGATTCATAAATACCAAGCATATGATAATATTGTTGGATTTTGGTTAAAAAAAATTTCATCCAAGAGAAGATGGAAAAGGAACCTAGCATGTGCTATCAGCATTTATCAATTATCAATTAGGAATAAGAAATCAGTCATTTGAAATAGCATGTAACAATGAACAAAAATGGGCTTAGAGTTTTTATCTTCACAACAAAGCGAATGCTTCATTAATATTAATCCTAAAATTGTTCTAAAGTGAGAACACGATGACAGTGTTGTCGTATTTTTAATATTTCCTATGATATAGTCTTCTGTTTGGAAATAAAACTTAAGTCTATTAGACCAAATTTCACCGGACAGTGTATTCTACTCTGTCTTTGTTTATTTCTAGCAAGTATCTGTGTCCTGGTATTTGTATTCATTTCAGATGTTTTTAGATAGCTTTCAAAATGACATATTGGACATATTAAAATATATTTCTAGTGTAAAGGCATGGAAATCCACAACTGAACATATATTTAAAAATAAAATATGTAATCTTTTTTTTTCCTGAAGAGTAACAATGAGGTGACGTTTGATCCTTGATATATGAAGGTGCTTCAAAAAAGTTCATGGAAAAATAGAATTAAAAGATGATACAAATCTTTTATGAACTTTTTGAAGTACCCCTTATATTTCAGAAATCCTGGAATAAAGGTTAAAATAACAGTAAATGAACTAGAAAGAATAAATGAGTTATAAAGTGTATGTTAATTTTTGAAAGGGGACATTTTTCAGACAAAACTCTTTAAATGTGTTATTCTTTTTTTCTTAGAATTTAGTAAAAATGATTAAATGACAACTCTGAAAACAGTTTTAAAGATTAAAACTATTTCATGAATATTCTTTAACGGCTTGGTACCTATTTTCCCTCGTATACCACAGAAGGCAGACCAGACAGTGTATACCACACTCCACGTATTCTTGATTGCCAAAGACGAGTCATGTCAGCCGGGATCAGCACCGCGTGTAATCTTAGCTAAGCAGCATCGCACCTCCCACCTTGCACATGGTAACAACTCCTTCTGAGTCATGGTGTGAAATGTTTCCTCACCTTGGTATTTATTTTGCTATATTTAATTGAATGAAATGGCAGAGGGTTTTCCAATTCCTTCCTCAAAACTGAGCTGAGATATAAAAAGAAGAGACTGAATTTTGAAAATGTGTGGTGTAAAACTGTATAAAATAAACAAAGAGAGGAACACTTCAAGCTCATTTCTACCAACTGTTTTTTCTTAAACTGTTTGAATGAAGTGGATGATATTAGTCTGTCCACATGGTTATTTTAAAACTGGGAGAGCTAAAAAATATCAGAGTATCCTCGTCCCTGTCCCAAGGTCATAAATGAAAACATTAAAGCAACAGGTCTGATTGCCTCATCTAAACAAATTGTGGTTGGTGAGGGTAAGTACTGCTAATACTTGAGATAGAAGTTTGGGATGGTTTTTATAAAGTATAGTTGTAGATGATGAATATATTTCGTGTGGTATAAATGAATCAACGGAGCACTCCATTGTAGTTAATTCAAAATCAAGGAAAAGAATAATGTAACCATAAAAATATTTTAATGATATTGCACACAATATTGACTTTGAATGCATAAGTCAGACAATATTAATACATAATTCCATCTATAAAGTATTGCCAGTATCAATCAAGACCTCTTAGCTTGGCATTTTGTGTGAATTTAGTTTTAACAGAGTCTCATAGCAGGGGAAGATTTGTCCTGGGACCAAACAGCATTTGGAGAAATATAAGAAAGGAATTTTTAAAAGCTAGACATGGATTATAAATATAACGTGTGAGCAGGTCACCTTGATTTGGCTGATTTGCATGTCCATGGCAGATGACGAAGTTTCCAAGGCTTTGAGTTCTTTTTCTTTCTCAGTTATCCAGATGGACAGGGTCTCAAAATTACTGCCAAAATGATCCCACTTGTTTTTCACCATTTCCATGGTTTTAATACTAAAATTAACCAAATTAAGTAAATAAAATGCAACATTTTAAATAGAGAACAACAACACGTTTTTTAAAAAATTACCAGGTGAAAAGAGTGAAGACATTTGTGACCACTTCAAAGTTGAAACTATTTGAACATAAAAAAAAAAATGCACATTTGATCTAAGGTTGTCAGGCCTCACATCTTCCTATCTCCACTGAGAATGAATATTTAATAAGGCAGCATTTATGGTATGTTATGAATGGAACTGTGCTTCGAACAAAATATTGCTGGGTCCAAAGGAGTTTGAATCCAGGCACAATCTAATTAAACTCTGAATGTAACTAGTAGTTACCAGGATATATTTTAATAAACTATGCCAGAATACATTCCAATGCACACAATTTTTTAATAGTGCTATTTTCATGGGCATGGTCCTCTTAGTCTTAGAGTAAAGACAGTACAGCGATGCTTTTACTGAAAGATCTTTAAAGACAGAGCTCATGATCTGAAATCCATGTTGCCAGGTGAGAACTGTTTCTATCATTAGAGCTAAGCCTGACATTTGTAATAGATGTCCTATGGTCCTGATTCCAAAAGACTTATAAACTCTTGTGCATGAGCACCCTAACTACTTTTAGACAACTTAAGTTTTATTTGTAATAAATCTAGTGAAAAAAATTTCAACTACAGATTCCCAGTTTGTATTAGTTATGCATATATAACCAGATGAATATGGCTTTCAGTTTAGAAAAAGACTAAGAAAGTAACAGTATATCATTGAACTGGTAAGTCCTTGGGTTAAAAAAAAAAGAAAAAGAATGTCCCTCTATACCAAAAGGCACTTGAAGACGTCAAGAAAAATACACTGGCATCACTCATCACTGACTGTCAAATTAAATAGTATTGCAATCTCAAATTTATACCCTGGATGTGCCTAATTCTCTCAGCAGTACAGGTAATGCAAGCTATGCTATATTGCAAGTTTATAAATAAAATAAAAATTCAAATGGATATTCTTAATAGCAATAGCTTCCTTTCTGATAAACTCTAAGTTTTATTATTTCCATAACTTGATGAAGAATATTTAATATAAATTCCTCAAAGTTTTGAGTCATAATTTGTTTTAAATTTGGTTCTTTTTTGAGATTTCTTCTGCAGTGTACAATGTTTCAAGTCAAAATTTATCAAAATTAGAAGTTTAGGCAAATGTAAAATGTTAATTCCAAGGTGTTAATAGTATTAGAAACAAATTTTACCTTTTAAAATCCATCTTAGAAATTTTGTCCTGTTTCTTAATAATAATATGTCAATACTATGTGTTATTGATTTACCATTAAGTAACTTTAAAAATAGAAATGCTTAGCCATATTATGTTGAGAAGTATTGACCACATCATCATACATTTGTCCCCTCCAAATTTTCTTATATATATTGTCCATATAAGGGGACTTAAAAAAATTCATGGAATTGGACATTCATATGAAGGAGAATGAAACTAGATCCATACCTCTCGCCATATACCCAAATCAACTCTAAATGGATTAAGGAATTAAGCATACATCCTGAAACTAAAACTCCTTAAAGAAAACATAGGGGAAACACTTCAGGAAGGAGGATTGGGCACAAACTTTATGAATATGACCCCAAAAGCACAAGCAACCAAAGGAAAAGTAAACAAATGGGATTATATCAAACTAAAAAGTTTCTGCAAAGCAGAAGAAATAATTAACAGCAAAAAGACATCCAACAGAGTGGGAGAAAATATTAGCAAAATATACATCCGACAAAGGATTAATATCCAGAATATACAAGGAACTCAAACAACTTTACAGCAAAAAAACAAGGAACACAATTAAAAAAGGGGCGAAGGAGCTGAATAGGCATTTCTCAAAGGAAGATATACTTATGGCCAACAGACACATAAAAAAATGCTCAACATCACTCAGCATTTGGGAAATGCAAATCAAAACCACTTTGAGATACCATCTCACTCCAGTTAGGATGGCTAATATCCAAAAGACTGAGAATGATAAATGCTGGTGAGAATGCGGAGAAACAGGAACCCTCCTACACTCTTGGTGGGACTGCAAAATGGTGCAGCCTTTATGGAAAACGGTATGGAAGTTCCTCAAACAATTACAGATAGATCTACCATATGACACAGCTATCCCACTGCTGGGTATATACCCAGAGGAATGGAAATCATCATGTCGAAGGGATACCAGTACTCTCTATTGCAGCGCTATTTACAATAGCCAAGAGTTGGAACCAGCCTAAATGCCCATCATTGGATGAGTGGATAAGGAAACTGCGGCATATCTACACTACACTGCTGTAAAAAAAAAAAAAAAAATGAAATAGTACCATTCTCAGCAATATGGATGGACTTAGAGAAAATTATATTAAGTGAAATAAGCCAGGCATAGAAAGAGAAATACCACATGCTCTCCCTATTTGTGGAAGCTAATAAAAATAAATAAATAAATATACAAACAAACAAACATAGGGTGGGGGGAAGAAGATACAACAATCACAACAATTCCTTGAACTTGTTAAGACAATCGAACAGATATGATGTTGATGTGGTAAAGGGGGAAAAGGGAGGGGGACAAGGAGGAATTGGCAGAGGGACATGAAAATCAACTACATTGTATATTGATAAATTAAAATAAAATTTAAAAAAATTTTTTTAAAGTTCATGGAAAGATTCATATTACCCTTCAATTCTATTTCTCCAAGAACTTTTTGAAGTACCTTAGAATAACAGGATATCAATAGGCCAAACTGTTATTTCTTTCTTTTTGGATAAACAAACATTAAATGTTTAAAAATAAAATAGATTCTTGATGTCAATTTCTGGAAATTGCATATCGATCAGTGACAATTTGAATACTGAGGCACTGTGTAAACAAGCTGCATGAGCTTCTTCAAGCTGGAGACATTTGGTCTATGTGATGTGTATTTAGGCCTAGAATCTACACTAACCAAATATCTCCCTTTTCCTCTAACTGGTGACAACAGAATAATACAGTAAAAAAAAAAAAATTGTTTTCAGTATTGGTTCTTTTTTGAGATTCTCTCTACAAAGGCCACAGGATTGAATAGATATGGCTTTCTCATTAATATAATCAGTTTAATAGGTAAAAACCACACCCCCTATATATTTTCGATCTATGATAGATATTGGTTCCTGTTTTGGTGATACTTTCTTTTGAATCGTGAGCGGCTTCCTCAAAACATGCTGAAATACACAGACACTTCAAGATTTTAAAAGAATGTTTTGAATACAAGATACAGGAAAGACTGTATTAAACTTTATCTCAGAGAGGAAAGTTTAGGACGTGTCAAGCACATACTCTTCTTCAAGCGTGTCTTCTAATTTTTTGACTTGCTCTTTGATTGACTTGGCCTGCTGTTGAAGCAGCTGCTTATTCTTGGGCCCAAGTGGGATCTCTGAAGCTTCCTTTACAAGGTTCTCAGCCTGGGCTGCAATACTTTCTGTCCGTTTAGAAAACTCCTAAATAAAAAGATGTTACAACTGTTAGGTGGGCATTTTATTTTATTTAACTCTTCTCTCAAAAAAATGCATATACTGCATCATATCCCCCAAAATAAACGAGTGTATGGATAGATGGATTCATATGCGTATGGTCTTATATTCGTCTTAACAATAAAACTGACTTATTTTCACAGGGCCAAAATAGACACTTTGCTACAAGTTTTTCATTTTATATACAAAACCAACTATCTATCTTCATAGTTATCCAACAATTCTCACAAAAATGATTTCCCGTTGTTTCCTGGCTTTGAATGATTGTTTGGAATTCTGAGCCACATTATAATAATTAACATCCACAAATCTGTTAATTTATTACAGGCCAGTTCAACAGTGATTGATTCTTCAGTCATAGAGATAATAGATTTCTAGGCCAATGAATAGAAATATTTGTTTGTTTAATTGAAGAATATCTCAGTCAATGCAGAGTATCAGTGATCTTTACTATTAAAAAATTTTGTTAACTAGTTCCCTGAAAAGAGATACAATTATAATCTGCTCTTAATGCAGTGAAATCCTATTTATTACATATACATATAGGACATGATGGAAATAAGGTAAGTTTTGAACCAGTCAAACTTGGGCTGGAATCCTGGGTCTGCTAGCCACTAGTTGTTTGATTGGGTGAATTACTTTTCAGGCTCTCATGTAAAATGCAGATGGTGATGTTTTTCTTGGAACATACCATTAACAATCCATTAGCAATTTCATTTTTAAGTGCCTAACACTCTGGCAGGTACCGACTATCGTTTTTAAGTCCCTCACATAAAATTGAGGACAAAATGGTTTATTAAATCTATATATTGATTATCGATAATATTGAGCTATATTAATTCTAAAGTTAATTTAATATGTATGAGGCACTGGCAAACTTTACATGCTCTCTGAATTTTGCTGGGTAAATAAAATGTATTGAATACTGAACTGGAAAAGGTAAGCCCGGTGATAATCTTGAGTGAAGAAAATTAACTTAATGTCTCATTTCTTCTCATGAGATTTCACAGGAGGTTAAATTTTGATCATAAATTCCCCTCTCCTGAATAGGTAATGTAGAAATTCAATGCAAATGTATATTTTTTAAAGTCAGCTTTTTACTCTGAGCATCTCTCGGAATTATTACGTAATGCCATATAAGATAGTTAGTTACTACATAATACTATTATAGCTTTAAGTTTAAAAGACTTAATGTCCTCATAGAAATATCAATGTTACTTCAGAGAAGTACCCTGCAATTTGAGAGAATAAAAATGAGTAAGTACAGCTTTCTTATGGTATAGAGATTTATAATATCCTAAAATATGACAGTTGCTAATGTCACAATATTAAATTCTGTGGTTTAAAAGCACCCACTATTACTACATGTGAACTTATAGTCATTGTAGATTCAATTGTGAAAACTGAATCAAAGCATAATCTCTCAAAATCCCATGAATAGAACCAGGAGTGTAAAATAAAGCGCCCCCCCGCCACTAGTATTTCCCAGAACTCAGGAAAAACACATAGAAAGTACTGTTTAAAATGCTTATATACATTCAATCTTAGATCCTTTTGTGTGAACTATGTACAGGGAAAACACAATGTAAAGGAATGCAAAGAGCAGAATGATGTTAATAAAAACAAAATTAAACAAAAATAGAATAACATTGTAATGTCTTATCTCCAAGTCCTAAGAAGAAGACATACAAGTGGTAGCAGGATTCATACATGTATGGATCTATACTGTTCTTAACAATAAAACTGACTTATTTTCATATAGCCAAATTAGACACTTTGCTAAATTTTTTTCATTTTGCATTTGTCCCCATGCACCAACTGCTACCCCCCCCCACCCTTATTTATGCCCATATTAACTCCCATAGGCACATGTGCAATAACTTTCTAATCGGGTCCCATGACCCCAGTCCTGCACCCTTTCAATCCATTTTCCACACCTGCCTAGAAATTCATCTCCCGAAAGCTCAGCTCTGGTCATGCAACTCTCTTTAAAAACCTTTGATGGTTCTGGCTCTATGCTGCCTAGAGAGTAATGCTTTAAGCCTTCAAAACTCTTTGCGATGTGGCACAACTTCCCTTTATAAATTCACTTCCCTTTCTTTACTCTGCTTTACAACATAGAATCCCCATTTCTAGGATTTTTATACCTCATGCCATTCCCCTTCGAGGAATGTTTGTTCTCTGCTCCGAACTCTGGTTTTCTAAGTTTTACCTGCCTTTTCAGGTTTCGTTAAAAATATCATTGCCTCCAGATTTTTAAAAATCTGTACATCTATTAAGGAACTAACCATTTCCCACTTTCATGAAACGTTCTCTTAGTCCTTACTGTTTAAATCCTATTTATATTTTCATTCCCCAGTGTGTTGAAAATAGTGAGTCATCAATAAATAGCAAGTATTGATTAAATGAGTAACAATAATTAATAGTTAATGGAGAGTAATTGGAGGATAAATAGTTTCGCTGCTGTTTTTCTGAATAATGAGGACCAAGGAACCATATGGTCTTATTAATATACCTTTGTCTGTTCCAATTCTGAAGATAAACTTTCCAAACTGCTAAAGCTCAAAAACCGTTCATGGCTCGAACCTGTTTGAAAAAGATATCTGACCACTGTCTCTTTGTTTGTTTCAAATCGCTCCCATTTTCTTAATGTAACCTAAAATTGAAAAAATAAACATTTCAGGTTATAAATTACCAAAGTGTGTCACAAAATATTATCATACTTTCTCATTCATTTGCTAAACTGTCAACTTCCAGTGAACTCTTAGTTCAAATTTTACACAGTCGCACTGAATCAAGATCGTTTTAGTGTCTTCTATAAGAATTTCCTTTCTGGGTCTCCATGCTTTCATCTAGATCTAGGTGATTTCTGAGTTCTCCAGCACTTGTAAAGTCCTATGCATCTAACAATACTACTTAAAAGGAGGTAGAGAGAAAGAGAGAGAGCAACACAGAGAAGTGAGGTGGCAAAAATCAAAAGCTTTTTAAAAGATAATATGTCAACATCACAATAAAGCATAAAGGTGAGGCTGTTGGACTTCCTAGAAAAGAGAAATGATACGATTTCAAATTTCTGGATTCAGACAAGTGTGGATTAAACTCTGGCTTTATTTATTAATCACTGCTGTGTGGCATTGGGCCAAGTCCTCAAACTTTTTCTTCTCAAGCAACCACACTTACAAAATGTGCTAATTACACAAGTCACCTCCTAGGGCTGATGTGATGATTAAAAGAGATAATGCATGTCACATGTTTAACACAATGCTGGGGCATTCCGAGGTGGGAGTAAACCTTTGCCCCTGCTGCTGTGAGATGAAATACAGAAGTGAACACAGCCGATGCCTCTCCTGCAACAAGCCCTGGGTCCCAGCTCCTACCTGGATGCGGCGTTCCTGCCTCTCCCTACCACGCTCCAGGCCGTCCAAGGTGCTCTCCAACTTCTGCAGCTCCTCGCGGCCTCGGCCGGGCAGCCCACCTCCCTGCTGAGCCTGCCTGATCTGCTGCTGCACGTCTCTCTTCTTTGCTGAGATCATCTTTGTCTTTTGCTGGAAGCATTTGTTCAACAGATGGATATAAATTTTATTCTTTAAGCAGCTAAGCAGGGGCATAAACACCCACACTTAGTAGAGGTACAGAAAGGTACAATCTCACACAGCGTGGGTCCCAACTGCATTGTAAAGGTAATGGGGACTCTGTATTAGTCAAGATGGACATTATGTATAAATATTTTGTGTTTTAATGATAAACAACATAAGTAATTCGGCCTTCGTGTTTTAGTTGTATACCGATTTTGAGAACATTAGCATTTTGTGCAATACTCCAGAAAATATTTGGCCAAGTATTCATTTGACATGATTCTTTTAAAATAATTATTGCCTGCCTGAAAACACAAAGTCTCAACTTCAATTCTATTTTTATCATCTATGCTGTAAAAGTGCTAATATTAAGGGATTTACTTCCTGGGTATATTCAGAATAGTTAATCTGCTGAAATATCATGGTATAAACTATATTTTAAAATAAACTTTTTATTGAAGTATAATCTTCAAACAGAATAGTTATAAATCCCAAGTATACAGCTTATGAATTTTCACAAAATAAACACATCAGTATAAACAAGCACCTGATCTAAGAAATATGAGTAGAGTTTTAAAATATTAATATAAATATCTATAGTCTTATATCTCTGATTTAAAGTAAAAGGAAACCCAAACAATTTTACAATGATTGAAAACGATGTAACACCAAACATTAATTTTTTGTACTCACAGCCTTTTTATAATTATTAAATAAATCGATAAAGTTTAGAGGCTGCTATTTTGCACATACTTTTAATTCAACTTCCATTTCATATATTATATATAAAATTAGCTAGCATATTACTACACATTAAGTGAGCTATAATTCTGTTATTAAAATATTTGATTTGAATCATATTTCCATTTATATCGATACTGACAAGTAATATATTCCATTTATGTGCATATTTTAATGTTCACTACTGGCCTATCAGGAACTAAGTTGATTGAAATTGTTTATTGTCGGGCTGAGCCCATGGCGCACTCGGGAGAGTGTGGCGCTGGGAGCGCAGCAGTGCTCCCGCCGCGGGTTCGGATCCTATGTAGGGATGACCAGTGTGCTCACAGCACTCACTGGCTGAGCGCGGTGGGGCCGGTCTCAAAAAGGAAAAAAAAAAAAAAAGAAAGAAATTGTTTATTGTCGGGCTGAGCCCATGGCGCACTCGGGAGAGTGTGGCGCTGGGAGCGCAGCAGTGCTCCCGCCGCGGGTTCGGATCCTATGTAGGGATGACCAGTGTGCTCACAGCACTCACTGGCTGAGCGCGGTGGGGCCGGTCTCAAAAAGGACAAAAAAAAAAAAAAAAAAAAAAAAAAAAGAAAGAAATTGTTTATTGTCAGTATATATGTCAGAATTTCTTTACTTCTAATTCTAATCCTTTGTAAGAGCAAACTTTCCTGAAAGGTCTGGTACTTCAAGTAAGTTATAATCTCCCAAACTAAACTGTTTCCAAGTTGCAAATAGAAAAGAAAGATTTTAACATAATGACAAAAGAATAGCAATCTCAAAAATGAAGCCATTTTCCTATCTCTAAGCTCTCCTTCTGTTATGAAAAGGACCATTTAGGAAGGTTTATGCAGGTTTTCATAGCTACATCAATTTTATCTCCACAATATTCCTCAAACTTTCTGATGTCATCAAACCACTCAGTCTGGGAATTTGTCCTGCAGGATATTCTGAAATATTTAATATTTAACAGAGAGAACGGAAAACATAAGTGCCAACTTCTTTTAACTATTCAACAGGGTCCTCCCACGCCCCCTTCCACAATCCTCCAGCCTAGTGAGTATATTCCGTGTTTCTCTGGTTCTCTCGGTAACTAATCAGCTTTACACAGATGCAGGGTAGTAAGGAAGCCTTTCTACCTGGTGATGAAGAAGTAACTGCTGTGCTTCAAACAGGTCTTCAGTGTCCAAGATCGTCTCGGCTTGCTCCTGAACTTCTTTAGAGCCAGAAATTAATTCTTCAAGGGAACTTTTGACTATTTCTTTGTACTGGACACAGTCCCCAAAGTTGCTTAACATCTTTTCAACCTAAGTTTTCACAAAAACAAAAACAAAACCTCTGTAAATCGTAAGCTACTTAGTGAAGTTCATGTAGTCTTTTAATTGAGGTGTGATTGACACATAAGCATTATATACATTAAAGGTGTACAATGTGATGTTTCGGTATATATATCCATTGTGAAATGATCCCTACAATCAAACTAATGAGCCTATCCATGACCTCACATACTTAACTTTTGTGTGTGTGTGTGAGAACACTTAAGGTCTACTCTCCTATAAAATTTATACAATAGAGGATTATTAACTATAGTCATCACGCTTTTCATTAGATCTCCAGAAATCATTCATCCTGTAACTTAAAGTCTGTGTCCCTTGATCAACACCACCCTGTTCAAGTTCACGTAGTCTTACATGTTTTAAGAATATGCATAGTTGAAGCCACATCTCTGTGCCACATCAAAAAGTCACTTGACCTGGCAATAAAGGCAGGAAAGTAAAACTGTATATATTGTCTCCTGAGTCCCTTTAATTATAATCTTGTGACTAAAACCTAGTTATAAAAGTGCCTTACAAGAAAGTTGAGTCCATTGTATTAAAGTAAATAAGGGGAAAAAAATGTAAAGAGGAAAAGAAGAAAATAAAAGAGAATTTGTTGAAAATGCACTTCCAATATTTCTGCACAAAACATCAATATAATTTCTAATCTGGGGGTTCTTTAGTAGATTCTTTTCCTTGTCATTCCACCAGTATCTTTTGTTTTCAAAGTCTACCCTTCTCCATTTTCACTGAGAATTTTTATTTTATCATGTGTCTTCCACAGATGTCTTCCAGTTTCTCCTCTTATCTTTCTCTTTGACCCTCTTCTGATATGTGTGTCCAAGGCAACCTGGAGAATGCTGTTCTCCAAACTAGCAGCAATAAGACCCTGTAAAAACCACAAACTCCAGATCTCAGTATAAATCATCAGCTCTGTTGAAAGAAGTGGTTGTTCACTGCACAGTGTGACTCTACCCACAGACCTTTTTTCTGACAACAGTCAATTGTGAACACTTTGTGTTCAGCATTAATTTAAATATTAAATGGATTATTATCAAAGGAATGGACGAAATGTGTTAAATCCATCTTTTTATATAAATCTATGCATAAATGGAATATGTTTCTCTCCATTCCTCTTTTTTGCTTTCACTAAGTGATTAAGCAGCAAAAATAGGTATTAATATAAATTATACAGAAGTTTAAGATAGACGAGTGTGCAAAGAATTAACGTCTGCATAAACTTTTATTAGAGAAAGATTGTTGTTACAAGTCCCATGAGCAGCTTCATGACAGTATTTGGAAGACAAAGCAAATGGCCTTGGTAAAATGTTAAGGAGATTAATAACTTCTAATTTTAAATGTTACCAAAATTTTTTTGTGTGTATGGGACACAATATGTCACAAATTTGCCTATTGATGTAACTAAAACCATTTGTCAGATATTGGCTCAAAAGTTGCCTTCATATACACCAACTTTTAATTTAATTTAATTTTTAATTTTGCATGTGTGTATTTGGTTGTACATACTAACTTTTTAGACTTACTTTTACCTTCTTGACTAAAGAAAGAGTAGAAGAAACTAATGTCAAATTTTCACTTAAAGTATGATAGTGGCAACTAAACTTGACCATTGCTATGAAAGATGGATAATCTAAGGACTGAAATAGCTTATGTTCCAAAATTTGATTAATTATATCACTATTTTCAACTTGTCAAAAATTCTTAATAACAGTGTAATTTATCTATCAAAATTCTCACATAAAACTAAAATCACAAGCGGTTCAGAGTTCAGCAGTGCAGAGTGTTTTGGGCTTATGTAAATTCACAACTAGAGTCTCAAGCAGATCTACGTGGATTAAAAATATAAAAGATTAACAGACAAACTGTTAAGTTAGGGACACCTATAGAGAATTCCAGGTCTTCAGAATCAGAGAGCATTGTGGATATATCATCATCACACAATAGATAATTTTTCCATGTGAGTTTATTCTTAAATGATTTTAAGACTGATAAAATATTCTGCTTTACATTCTTATATTATCTTCCATGTACAGACTCACTAGATTTATACAACAATGTGGTCAGTAAAAAATATTCTTGCTGAGGCAAAAGAGGTACTACCAGAAATGAAGTAGATATCCTATAGACAGAATGTATATATTCTGTATCATACATTTTTATAATCCCCGTGAGAAGCCATATAATACATTACATACAAACATACGTGAAATGAATATAGAAGAGTTTAAAATGAGTAGACCTTGGCTAAAGGAGAATTTTACTGGCCTGCTGACTAAACATTGAATATTTTATGACTATTATTACTAGCCACCAGTTATTGAGCATTTACTTTGTTCCAGGCACTGTACTATGTAAGTGCTTTATAACATTATTGCATTTAATCCTTGACATTGTCTTTTAGGATAAGTATGTTTAACCTTGTTTTATAAGTAAGGAAATAAAGGCCTAGAGATGTTAAATGACAAGCTCAACATTACGTAGGGAGCAGGGTATCAGATTTAAGCTCTAACCCTGGGTCTGTTTGACTCTCAAGGCTTGTTCTGAACCTCTGTGATATACCTTAAACTCACCATGAAATAACAATGTTTTTAGTAAGAGTGAAAAAAGTGTGGATTTGTTAAGCTTCGTACCTTAGATATCGGTCATTAACCTAAACTAACATATCCAATCATGGCATAGACCATAATTCAGACAGCCTACTCATCTTTCCCAACAATCTTCATATAAATAAGTATTACTACTATTCTGTTTCAACTACAATTTCTTTATAAAATTGCTTTGTAAACTACAACCAAAAGAAGGAGAGCCTTCCAGATTCCTTACCCAGCACTGTCTGTTCAGAGAGTAAGTAAACGACATACCTGTGACAACAATGTCACGAGAGCCTTGAAGGAGTTAGATAACTGTGCCAGCTCATTGCTTTGCTTTTGGGCTTCCTTCTCAGAGGAAACTTCAACCAAAATTTTCAGCCTGGATTTCAGCCAGCTGAGAGTCTCGCCTCTTTTGGTGACACCATTTCTGATCTCCTGGAACGAAAGAACACTTGTGACGAGCAAAGCGCAGTTGGGAATTACAGCTTTCCAGCAGGAAAGGACTCAGCCTGAAGAGGTGTGTAAGGTGCAGGTAAGAGCCAGGCATTCATTCACCAAGAGAGTGCCTGCTTATTTATTCTCCTCTTTGTACACATCTTTAAGTGCTCAAAAGAAACGCTTCCCCAAAGCCTGATGTGGAAAATCAATATTGTCTATACCAAAAAAAAAAATTACCTTAATTCTTAGATTGGTTAGATATTTGCAGATATTTCCCTGATCACAACAAGATGCTCTGAAAAGTATTGTAGAAGAATATGAAATACCCAAATTGGGAACTGTAGTATATACATACTTTGTTAGCCTACTTTCTGTGAGCTGGAAGGAACATGGTAATTTGGGAAAAAAAGAATGACAGTCCTTTTTTAAAAAAAAAATTAGCTGATTTCTTTCACTGAAGAGTTCGCTTGTTGAATATTGTTATGGATGCTCTCAAGATTTATTTTAGCTTCATTAAATTACATTTTCTGCCTCATTTTTGTTAGCTTTTAGAAGTCAATACCCCATATATTAAGATGCATAATAGGATTACAGCTCCAATCCAGGAAGGAAGGGTTTGCTGCCCAATATAATCTTGGGATGACTCTGGGCTTCAGTCCTCACCGGGTTGGTGACTGGGGCAGACTGTCCCTTCTACACCAGCTCTGGGGTAGCACATGGGGCAGGGGTCTCCAACCACCTGTGCTGTTCCACAGGGCAAATGTACACCAGCTAGAAAACGGTTGGTTACAGAAGCAAGTGATCTCTTCATTGTAAGATGTGAATCTTTTTTTTTTTTTGGTACCATAACAGCAACAGCAACCAGTGGCAAATACAAATATCCATCTATATACATACAATGATATTATTGAGCACTCCACCATTTGAGGGGATTATATAATTTAATTGGAAAAAAGGAAAAAAAAAAAAAGAAACTTCAGAGGACAGGAACACAAAGGAAATATATTCCCCTTAACAGCGACTGTGACTTGCAAGGGTTAAAAGTGCTGAAAGGTAAAGCATTTTCAGAATAGTGTGTGTCTATAGAACAAAGAGCCAAGCTAAGAGGAGTAGGGCTGCTGGGTGCCATTCACAGAATGCAAACTACTCAGGCCTGAGGCTTTGTCTCCTTGGCTGGATTTCTTAGGCTGTACCCACGCTCACAGAGGCTGAAATGAGCCAATCCAGCCTGAATGTGATGTAAATGGATGCTTAGAGACCTTGTCCAAATCCCTGATTTTTCTGTGACCTGGATTTTGCATGGCTGAAAATGTATTGTATAAAAGCACATGGTGTTCTCGTTTTCCGTGACAACTCTCAGCTCTCTGCTGTGTTATACACCCATGCATGCAATTTTCCACTCAGGACTCCCCATTAGCTAGCGATGCATTAGAGGCACCACTGAGCATGACTAACTCTCAAAGCTACCAAAGATTCAATAGGAAAAAAACCCTGCAGTTCTCCATAGTAATTTGAGGAGACTTATTTTTAAGACAATTATCAGGAACTTCATTTTTTTCAAGAAATCAAAAGAAGACAACAGTTATATTGTCTAACATTATTTTTTATTATTGGAAATTTTCCTCTAGCAAACAATTGCCCAGAACTTACGTCAACAGCACATTTAACCTCTCCGTGGTTGGCGGTATCGATGGCCTCACCCTTGATCCCCTTCAACTGGGTCTCCTTTGCAGATATCCAAGAGGAGAACTCAGAAAATCTGAAATAACATGAGCATTTTCTTATTAAAGGGAGAAAATATTAGAATGTTCTGTGGATTAAATTTCCCACCAGCACTCATTAAAACTTAATCTCCACTTTAACAGTGTTAAGACAGTGGGAAATCCTATTACGGTAATTGAAAGATGGAGCCTCTAAGAGGAGATTAGATTGTGAACAGACAGATCCATTCATGGGGTAACAGGCGTGGTTCTGATGGCTTTGAAAGGAGCGCAGTTGACAAGTTCGCTCTCTCTTGCTCAGCCCTTTCTCACCACGTGACACCCCGCCTCATGCAGAAGGCCCTCACCAGATGTGCTCACTGGGCTGTGCACTTTCCAGCCTCTGAAACTGTAAGAAATAATTTTTTTTTTTATAAATTACCCTGTTTCAGGTATTCTGTTATAAGCAACAAAAACTGCCTAATACAGAATGGTTAGAATATGTTTTCTGTTTTGAATTCTCTCCTGGAAATTTAACAATCAAGGGATTACCAAATGGATTAACAAGTTTTCTGGAAACTCCTCCTTTGACATGAAGCTCAGGGCAGGGGTGGCCGCCTCTGTGCCCAATTACTAAAGAAGTTCAGCAGAGGAAAAAAATGTGTCCCAGGGTCTGAGAGCCTGGAAGGAAGGAAGGGACCAACTGAGGTCTGGCCTCACATGTCCCCACCGGGGTGAGACACTAAACCCAAAGAGGCAGAAGCCCCCTTCAGGGACATATGGAAATCGGGGCAAAGGGGATTGACCAACTCTGCCTCAACAAGATAACATATGGGTCATTTTGAAATAAAGTGACTCACGCCATTTCTGACTGAAACCCATTCCTTTTATTTTGGGGCAGCTGGCCGGCACAGGCATCCAAACCCTTGACCTTGGTGTTCCAAGGTTGTACTCTAACCGACTGAGCCAACCAGCCATCCTTGAAACCCATCCCTTTTATTATAATGCATTTTTGTACAGGAACGTGGGCAAGGTCATACGATCTGATTTTCTTTATTGTGTAAAATGAAATCTATGTAATTTCTTGTTTTGTGATGATCTCTGACCTAACAGAGTTGACAGACTACATCCTCCTTTGGAGACAATTCCAAGGCTACCTGCTGGCGTAGTCCTTCCACTTGTCCGGATCTTCCACGAGTGCCGCGTAGGTGCTGTCAATGGCAGCTCTGAGCTCTTTGAGAGCCGTGTGACAGGTTCCAGGTGTGTCCCTTACTGGGTCCCTGGCTGGAAGTTTCCCACACAGTTCCTCAATGAGTTGTAACCTTTTCTCACAGAGATGATGAGGACCTTTGTCACTGAAGAAAATCTAATGAGCAATAAACGTTTTTTATAATCCCCGTGAGAAGCCATATAATACTTTTACATTTTCATAGATAAACCAAAGGGAGAGTCCCACGTAGACTACCAATGTAGAGGAATTAAGTCATTTTTTTTCATACCCAAACCAAAGTATCAGTTACATATCCTTTAAGTAACAACGTGCCTTTCCATGACTATGCACCTGCTGGTGCAGGAGACGTACCCTGTGCTCCTTAATAATCTTTTCGCTGCCTTCCTGGGGCACCAGCGTGGTCTCTCGATGCAGCTCAGCTCTGCACTCTTCTAGAGCGGCTGAGAATCTATTCTTCTCCACTTCGATCTTCAGATGAAGCAAATGGTAAGGAGCTTCTCCTTGAAGATCCTGCATTCCAAAGGAAGATTCAGAAACAGAGGATAATGTTCCTGATTATGTACATTTCCAATTGAAGTGGCAATTACAGATTAATTTCAATTACAGGTCCTGTTTTACAGATTAGACCATCGAGACTCAGTGGTAAGCAGAAAAGCTAGTATTTGAACCTAGATTTCAATCATGCACAGATGCACATACCTTCTCCCTGGAATGTGTCCCTTTTGATTTGGTCAACAACCCCATGAGGTAGGAAGAAGAGAAATTATATATCCCTGTCCTAAGGGGGGTGGTGTGCATAAAGAAATCTTACTAGAAAAAAATCAGCATTCTACAGCCCAGGGCTGCTGGCCCCTGCCACGTCCTCTTTTCCTTAGACCACACATTGAGAAAACAAGCAAGCAAACACTCAAACAATACATACCATTTTTTACATTCTTCTTTTTTGATATAAGCATAAGCTTCATCATTACCTTTAGTCCTATAATTTACTAATTCTAGCCAACTCGTATTTTATGGCATTTAAAAGGATTACTTTAAAAATAGAATACTAAGATAATTGACAAAAAAAACGTGTTGAGGCTATGGAAAGACTAGGACAGGTTGTATTCTAGAGAGTTTAACATTTGCAATAAAATGCAACCTCCAGTTATAGTCCACATTCCATAATACATTTATGATGTTAAGCTTCAAAGACATCTTAGACAGCTTGGACTTCTTTAAGAATTTTGTTGTTGTTGTTAATGAGATGCTTAAATTTTTGAATTTAGCAAGTAAAAAGGATATTTTAACTGTGTTTTTCTTATATACAGGGGTGATTTTTAGCCTCTGTTACTGACATTTTAAAAATCCTGAAAGGAACACAACCTCATGGAGAGAGTTTTGGCTGCCAATCTTCTGAACCCTAAGACTCCTTCCTGTACCACATTTGAAATATCACCTCCTGTCAGCACTGGTCCACTTGCAGCTACACTAGTCTTCCTGCAGCCTAGCTCAGGAAAGAAAGCCTGCGACAGCTCATCATTACACTGGGACAGGCCCAGCTTCTCTCCACCATCCCCCACAGCACACAACAGTCAAGCCAGACTGAGCCTGAGGGCATCTCTGTGTCCCCCACCTGCACACTCTCCTGCTGTCTCTCTTCCTGTACTCTTCCTCCCCCTTACCCACCCCACATTTCTGCTGCTTCTTTAAAGTCCCAGCTCAAAACCAATTACTTTATTCACTCTTTTCCAACCTCCAAGTTTGTCCACCTCCTTCTTTCAAAGCTTTCATAAATATATTATTTATACATTTTTGGACTTATTAGATATTACACTTTTATTATTTGCAGCTAATCATCTCTCCTACTGAACTCTAAGCTCTTTGGGGGAAAAGGTTATGCTTTGTTCATCCTTGAATCCTTAATCAATAAATGTTTTTATTTATATTTTCAGACATAGCTATTGTACAATCCTTGAGGACAGCAACTACACACACACACACACACACACACACAGACACACACACACACACACATATATATAGCAATTTCAGTAGTATCTCTAACACAATTTATTCATTTGAGAAGAGCTCACTAAATGTTGCTTGGATAAGTTAAATGTCCTTGTTACTCTTGCCAAAAAAAAAAAAATCAAGAAACAAAAAATAGTACTCAAGTAATTGATGCTACTAAAAAGTAGGAATAACAAAATTCTCTCATATTTTATCATGTTTTATACAAGTTCAGTTTCTTGCAGTTTTTTTTATTTTTCTACATGGGAGAAGTAGCTATGGTGACTTTCCACAAATTTCTAAATGTCCCTTCCACGTGGATCTTAACACTCTCACACTTCTCCCTTCATTCATAACACACGATGTTCCGGTCTGTCCTGACTCACCTTCCACTGCTTATGGAGCTTTCTCACGGCCTCCTGCAGACCCTGCTGCTCCTGCTCGGGGAGGATGTCGGTGAGCTCATCACAAGCTTTCAGGAAGGCATTGAGCACCCTCTGATCCAGCTGACTGAAGAACTCCTGACACGGGCAGGGGAAAGTGATGAGCACTGGGCAGAACCAAAGGCAGCATCGAACACTGTCACGCCTCTAAACAAGCCTCTCAGCCAGCTGCTGCACTCTTCGCAACTTCCAGGCAACTACTATTTTATTTTCCAGGAATGAACTATAAGTTTCTATAGTTAGGAGTCAAAAGCTATCACATCTGAAATTCAACTAGTACTTTTCATTTTTTAGAAAAGATTTTTTGCAGTTTCACATTTGGTAGAGTATTTTGGAAGGCCAATGGGAGATTGTAAAATCTTGATTCCATGGTGACAGAATTTTGGTTTCTCTCTGGTCAAGTGCAAAGAGCAGAGTAGAAGCCAGGATTAAGCCTCGTAATTCCTCCTTCCCTAACTGCAATGAGTTCCAAGCCCTGATGGTTCATTCTGAGCCATCACCACATTCACACGTGCACACAGGAGCACACACGCTATGGACAGAATTGTGTCTCTCCCAACTTCATACGTTCAAGCCCTACTCCCAACGTGATGGTGTTTGGAGATGGAGCCTTTGGAAGGCAATTAGGTTTAGATGAGATCATGAGGGTCCCACCTTCATGGTGGAATTAATGCCCTCCTTACTAGAAGTTTGCTTACTCCCTCTTTCCACCATGTGAGGACACAGAGAGGAGGTGGCCATCTGCAAGCCAGGAAGACAGTCCTCACCAGAACCCTTCCATACTGACCCCCCGATCTCAGACTTCCAGGTCCAGAACTGTGAGAGAATGAATTTCTGTTGTTTACGCCACTAGTCTGTGGTATTTTGTTATGGCAGCCTTAGAAGACTTAAGACAATACACTTATACATGCACACTTGACTAAGGAGTATGTATGCAGAGATATTTTGAGAGAATAGTGATTCAAAATAAAAAGTTCCACTCTGTATACATTCAGAGGTGTATAAACTGAACGAGATGTTTCGTGTTTTGTCGTCACAGACATTAACCCTAAGTTTAATTAGCTTATCACAAACACGTTGCATTCATCATTTGAGAATGTGGTTTATATAAATATCCACTGAAATTTCAGGAAAACTAACTCAAAATACATGTTCTCAGACTGCTGGGCATCTCCATCCACCATTTCATGTATTACTAATGTTCTCAATATGGATGTAATATAAACAGGTATGATAAACACGAGGATGGCTTCACGATACTGGGCCCAGTTGTGTATCAGTTATCAGACTTCAAGTGACACGGGATCTACACTGTGATATGGTGGATTTATAACATTAGCACAAAGGACTTGGCCATTCACCTTGAGTTATCTATTTAAAAGAATCATTACTCATGTAAGAATTTCTGAGCTAAATAATGAATTAGTAATGTGGAGAGCCTGAATTAGCCTACAACTCTCTATTATTCCAGGGGCTTAAGAATGACCAATTATAAGTCAGCTAATCAATTGCTCTTGAAGTTCTTTTTGCCAACCTTTTCTTTGGGTCTCATGCCTAAAAGGTTTCTGCCTTCCTAACACATTACCCCCCAACCCCTTGCCCCGAGCCCCCATATTAGATCAGAATGCTCTTTGTATTTTTTCATCCAAGGTCACCAGTCCACGTACTCATGTCAAGTGGCCCATAAAGGGTCAACTCACCGTGTGTCTCCTCAGGAGTTCTTCGGGATCCCCCTTTTCCTCCAGGCCCTCCTGAGCGATCTGCAGCACCTTCTCCAACTCTGCTCGGGACTCCTCAAACTTCTTCATCAAGCGACTATTGGTTTCCACATGCTTCTTCCAATCTCCAGTTTTCTTGACCATATTCTTGATAGAAAAAATAATCATAACATGATGTTGTTTTCTCATTACTGAAAGTATCATTTAGAGAGAGTACTGCTTTAAAAAAAAACACTTGGAAGGAAGAGATGTTATTATGATGAGAAGGATTAACTTTTTTTTATTTGTTTGTTTACCGGTAAGGGGATTGAAACCCTCGGCACGGTGGGGTCTGCACCATGCTCAGCCAGTGAGCGCACCGGCCATCCCTATATAGGATCCGAACCCGTGGCCTCAGCGCTACCAGCACCACACTCTCCCGAGTGAGCCACGGGGCTGGCCCAGGATGATTAACTTTTAACAATATTAATATTAGAAAAAGAAGTAATAAAACAATTGGTTTCCAAACACTAGTAGGTGAAGCGTTTTAGCAAGACTGAAAATATAAGTGACGATCACTGTCCTCACTCGGTGTTTTCCCTGGCTTGCAATGCAAAGCAGGGAGAGCAAATTACCTGAAAAGCGACATGAACGTCCGCAATCTGCCTCTGTAGCTTTGTCTGGTCAAAATGTTTTAACACATTGCTCAAGGTCACAAACTTTTGAACACTTTGACTGCCTTTCTCAATTAGTGTCAGGGTTTTCTTACAGCTTTCTTGACAAGCTAACAGTTCCTACAAGGAAAGGAAACCCAATCAAAATTATTTACAAGAGAAAGTGGGCGAGAAAGAAAGAGTGTAATTGTTACAAATAATAACAACATTATACAACTTTTAGGCTTTTAACCGGCAATAAATAAAACCAAAAGTACAGAGGAACACTTCTTTCCAAAGAGCCCAATTTTCAGCAATCTCTGAAGTCAGTGCTTTTTATATAAGGCATTTAAATGCCACAGTGAGTTGTTTGATATTTTACGCACATCTTATTAACATTAGAAGACGAAAGAGCATCGAAATTGTTCTTTGTTTAGTGTCTTTATTCCTCTAACCAGTTGACACGCCTATGGTTTATTGAGAGAACAATCAGGAAATCAATCAACATATCAGGTTTCAATCTGACTACTTAATTTAACACCAATGCACATTCACTTGACTGGAAGAGTCAGATGCAGCAGATTACATATTATTTGTGTAACCTAAATTTATAGCATTTAAATCCATTGAGTTCATCAGCTATCTATCTTATTAATAAAATGGTGGGCTCCAGATCCTAATCAATAAAGGCAGCAGACCAATGGGCCTGGGGAACACATGCCCTTGTCACACGTTTGCAAAACAAGATGCGATGGTGACTCATGGGCCCTGCCACCTCTGACTTGTATCCTAGCATCGTAGTGATCTCTGCAGTAGACAGCACAGAAATGAACCAGCCCTGCCTATGGCAGAAAGTCATTTTTTGACCTGAATCTACACCACTTGTATTTCAACATCCTCAATTGCTTTGAAAAAATATTTCAAACTGCTCATTTGAATGCCATTTTCGGTCATCTAGATGTGAATATTAAGAGTAGGGTTTTTGTTTAGCTTTGGCAAAACAGAATAAGGACATACTTTTTCCTTTTGAAGACTTAGGAGATGAAAGGATAACTAAGTTAAAAATATATTATTATAAAATATTAATATTTATTACTACTAATATAGCTATTGTTTTAATTATGGAAAGATTATTTGATGGCAACTTATAGCAATTTGGGAATATAGGAAATGGCACCATGTCTCAAAATGAAAGGTGATCTTTATCCAATATGATGAGAAGTCATTAGAATAGTATTTGATGGTATCGTATTGCGGTTTTGCTATGACATAGATTATAGATACCGAATGGTAATGGAATATAATTATTTATATATATATGTAAATATACATATAAATTATATATATATATGTTTGCAAAGAATCAAGGAATTGATAAATATATGTTTGCTTGTTTTTTAAATAAAATTAACCATTTCATCAACTAGTGAGGAAATAGGTGATGCCCAAAGATATGTATAGGAAGTAGCACTAAATGCTTTCCTAAGAGAAAGTCAATATAAAGATGAAAAAATTTAAAGAAATATATATTTTCTATTTTAAAAAAATACAGATAAGAATTTATTTACATTAAACTTTTTATGAACTTTGCTCATGAAACATGATCCCTAGATTCATTGGTAGAAAGACACTACAAGAAAATTAAATAAATACAAAGCAGAGAAGATAATAGAAAGTTCTTCTATTATGAGTACGCTTTTTAGTTCCAGATAGAGTAGGGGATTTGGCTCTATTCCTAACACATATGCCTTACATCACAGGGACTTTGTGAACTTCCCACCTTGCTTACTTTGAGTTCAGAATGCATGCCCTATGCATGCACAGAGCAGATGCTCATAAATGCTTGCTGAGTATCGTCAGCTCACACCATTGCCCAGTTCATGGAAGGTGGAGTCAGGTGCACAAAACACACTGGTCTTCCTAATTTTGTGCAATTCAGTGCACTTATTAATTCAGATGATTAGAGCCTGGCTTCTACCCAGCTTGCACCCAGAGGCTAGCTTGACCACTCCCTGCAAACAGCGCAACCCCTCCACTGGCAATGGACAGGTTTTCATCTTTGCACAAAATATCTTTGGACAAGATGTGCATTTTTGAGTTACTAGTACTATTCTAGAAAAACATTTCTTGCCTGAACTGAATTTCTATTACTATAAGAAACACCTCAGTCTTATCATACATGCTTTAAAATACTTGTCTCCTGAAAGGGATTTTTCTTACCTGATGTTTTTGTTGAAAAAGAGGACTAGATTGTGCTTCGTGCTCAAGAACTGTTAGAATTTCATTGATTTTCCCAAGTGAGTCATAAAAGGACGTCATCTGCTTTTCTAATTCCTCTAAGGGAATCAACAGCTGCTGAGATTCATAAAGGAGTGGGGAGTAACGTTCTTTGACCTTTAAAAATACAAAGACAAAAATTCCATGAAAGGCCATTAAATACCACAAGTGCCCTGAGGCACTGTTCATAACTCTCAGGAACATTTCCTTTAGTGACATGGTCATTTGGTGCTTACAAATGTCCAAAGACGTTTCTTAAATGATATTTCCTCTGTGTTGTTAAATTTTGCAGTCAAAATCAATACTACTGTACCCTGAGACAGTTAAATGCCTACCAAGTTTTCTCATGAAGATTCATCTAAATCGCCCACCTGGATAGCACTTTGCCATCTAAGTGATTGTTAGTGAGCCAGATGGCATCAAATTCCACGTCATAAACCACGCAGCATGTTTTCACTTGGCCTTGAATTCTGACCTAAGATAGTCACAAATTATTATGACGTTGTCTAGATCAACCTGTACCTTCCAGCTTTACTTGCAAGAGCCTTCCTAGGTGAACCCTTAACTCCAGACAAATTCACACCTGTTGACTCTCCCAGACAGGCCCTGTGCTTTCTACCTCCCCCAGCTCCCTGCTTCCCTACTTACTTTCTGATTATCAACACTTCACTCATCCCAAGCACTGGTATCATAAGCCAATTTATTCCTGAAAGTTCCCCCCGGCCCACCCCTCATCTGTCACTTGTCTGTTAAAAAATGTTAGTTTTTACACCTGCATTATCTTCATGATGAGGCCAATAGCTCCTGGAGATCTAGAGCTCCATAAATTGTCTGCCTTGTCACATTTATGTTGGACTCCAGGACCTTATAATTCTCCAAGAACTTCCCTTCCCTCCGTGTTTTACTTAGGGTTGCTTCCAAAGTATTCTTAATACTTTTAGACATCCAAGGAAGGGAAATTAATCAGAATTTGTTAGTAGATCATTCTTTGATTTTTTTATAAGATTTAAACATATAATGAGTTAACTATATCAGTAATGTCCCAAAAATAACTCTTGAAAAGAACGGGGGGGGGGGGCATTTTGTCATACTGTTAAATACAAAATTATGTATGCAGAAATATTTTCATATTCTAGAATATACTGCCCAACACACCCACCAAAAGAAAGCAATTGTCCTACTGCAACAAGATGCTGCTAAACTTACCTTGAAAAAAGCCAACAGAATCTACCAATGTGTATAAAAATCAGTGTGCTTTATCGATCTTTCCCAGATGCAATAGAAAACCTATTAAACTGTTGCATCTGCAACAGCGGTAAGAAAGCATGATGATTTACATGTGTCTAAAGGCACAGTTTGCTTTCTCAGGGTTTACCCTAAACCACCAAGCCTGGCTCAGGCAAATGTGTAAGCCCAGGTGTGGTTGCTGGAAAGTTATCAAATTGAAAACGTTGATTTTGAATTGTACCCATTCTTTAACAAATTTTGCTGGCAGTTGATATTATAATTAAGTGATAAACAATTCTAACTTGAATGTTAAGATAAAATGAATTGAAAATGAACATTCTAATACATACCAGATGGACAGATAAAGTTTTTCTTTTTTTCATGACCAGAATTCTTCCTATTTTTCCTTTTCACATTTGTTCCTTCTGATTAATTCTCCACTACTGATTTCACACAGTGTATTCTCTTTCTTTCTATTTTTTCTCTCCTATGTAAAAGATTTTTCTACTTTCTTTTCCTTTGTTTTCCAAATCTTCATTACAAAATGTTTCCATTCATTTATATGATCACTTCTCTCTTTTACCAGAAATTAATTACCCAATTCTAAGTGCACTTTGCAAAGAATACCATCTTCCCAAAATTCAAGTTTAGGTAGATAAAAGATCCCAGTGGAACTTCCAAAGCTCTTAAGGAAAATCCCTCAACAGAATAGGAAAGGCTTATGGCTAATGCTTATGTCCATCTAGTTTCCTGCATAGAAATGGCATAAATTTCCTAAGCCTAAGGTGAGCTCTGTGAGATCAGGAGGGCAAACTTTCTACTGCTTTGTCTCTATGCTAGCAGAAAATAGTATAAATAAGCTTAGAGTGGAGGAATGTCAAATAAATCACAATAAATTCTCATTTAAATATATGATCTCCTTTTCCCCCTCCTCCTCTTCTCTCTCTCTCTGTTTTATCACATTTAACTTCCCCCCAATACCTACCTTTCTATTAAAATATAGCTATAGCACTTCTAAGTTAACAGAAGTAACACTTGGTATCAGTGTCATAGTTTTATTTTTTAAATTCATGAAAAAGTTACTAAAGGACAAAGTTACTAAATCAAGAGTCCCAATAAGAAACAAAAGTATGATTTGTTAACAAGTCACTGATTTGCCCATAGGTGAAAGAGGATGTGTAAGGCAAGTCGAAAGCAGTGTTGGTGCCACACAGTGAGTTGTGCATTAAAGTATTTTCACACCTTGGTTAGCTGCTCTTTGAGCCCAGACATGGTTGCAAACATTTCATTAGCTTCTTCTTGGGGGCTTTCTTTGCTAATGAGATGCGCTGTCTTTGTAATCATTTTGTATTGAGCATCCATCACAGGTACTCTCTGCTCAATATCCTGCATAAAATCATTGGAACAGCTAGATTAGCACGTGACACATTTCCTTTTTATTCCAATATTCCACAGAAGGGAGAACAAAAATCAATATGTACTGTATAAAATTCTATACTTATAGCAAACTTTTAGAGATTCCACTTATTGCTTTATTTCGTTTCTAATTTATACTGTTGATATTATACTAATAAATAAAAGCTTTCCTTTAAAAGTGACCAAAATCCTTAAGTTACCATAAAGATTAACTAAAGAAATCTTTATAAATTCAAAAATAAACATGTTAATGTAATATGGAAATATTATACCATGTAAATGTATGCTAACAATTTGGGGAAATACTGACTTTAAAATTAAAAACTTATTTTTTTCTTAAAAGAAAACATTGTCATTGCAGAAAACATAAATTAGACATATTAGAATAATGAAAATTTAAATTACTTATAGTCTTCTTATACAGAGATAACCAAAGCCAAGATCTCATCATTACATCATTAATTTTTTTCTGTGTGTGTTTACACCCATTTTTTAATTTTTGCAATAACAAAAGGATGATACTGTTGTTTGATTTTCTTATTTAACAATATACTGTAAAATGTTTCCATATCATTAAATATTCTTCCACTATTTCATTTCTGAGAACTGAACTCTATTCAAAATATGTACATGCCACAATTCACGCAATAAGTCCTTTGTTGCTGGAAACATTTATGTAGAGGAGCTATCTATAGATAGCTCCTGGTTTTCCCTAATGCTTTATAATTGGTTGGAGTAAAAAATCTTCACACTGAAAAACTGAAAAACTATTTGAAGTTACTTTATATGATCAAAACTATCTTTAAAAATTCAAATATATTGGGCCGGCCCGGTGGCGCACTGGATAGTGTGCTGCTTGGGAAGCGCGGCGGCGCTCCCACCCGAGGGTTCGGATCCCACATACAGACCGGTTCCCGCTCACTGGCTGAGCGAGGCGCGGGAGCAACGCCGAGGGTTGCAATCCCGTTGCCGGTCCCCGGTCCGGTGCAGGGGCAACACGGAGGGTTGCGATCCGTTGCCAGACACAGAAAAAGACAAAAAGAAAAAAAAAAAAAAAAATTCAAATATATTGGGCCGGCCCGGTGGCGCACTGGATAGTGTGCTGCTTGGGAAGCGCGGCGGCGCTCCCACCCGAGGGTTCGGATCCCACATACAGACCGGTTCCCGCTCACTGGCTGAGCGAGGCGCGGGAGCAACGCCGAGGGTTGCAATCCCGTTGCCGGTCCCCGGTCCGGTGCAGGGGCAACACGGAGGGTTGCGATCCGTTGCCAGACACAGAAAAAGACAAAAAGAAAAAAAAAAAAAAAAAAAAAAAAATTCAAATATATTTTTCGTGACAGGTGCAAAGCAGTCTATGTGGACAGGTAAAAACGACGCCCAGGAAACACAGAAACAGCTTTGCAACGACCTGAGTACCCTTGTTGATCTTTATTTTCACAACAGAATAGGTTTTTCATTTTATGATCCAAAAACCTCTTACCTCCAAGTCTTGAATTAATAACTTGACATTAATAAAGGAGACTTCTATGGGTTCAGAAAGTTTCCTATGGGCTTCAGTTGCAAAAACAGACAGAGTGGTAATACAGTCTGTGTATTCCTTCTTCATTCTGTCCATCTCATCAGCTCGAGCATACTGTTAGAAAAGGGGAGGCAACATTTTGAAAGCAGTTAAGCTACGACCCTGGAAGCCGCAGCCTTCACTTTCACATACTCTCTGGAATAGTTATATGCTAAGAAAGGCTCTAATTCCCGATTCCTATTTTAAATGAATTTGAGGTAACTCCAATTACTTTGAAAGGAAAAAAGAAACTAACATAGAGATGAAGAATTTGAAATGCGAATCATTCCATGTAAGTAGGCTCCATATGTCAACATAATCCTTAATCAAACTATGCATTTCTGTCATGTTCCTTCATTACCAATAGAAAAGAATGAGTAATGAACTATAAAACATGGCTTTAAACACATCAATACTCCGCCTTAATAAGCCCATGCTATAAAAATAAATTTGTCTCTAAACAGACTTTATCACAACATTTATAGCACATACATGTTTCAGGTGTGTATAGATCTGAAAGACATACTTGCTTGACTTCCATAAACAACTCTCTCCATCGCCCATTTAGCAATAGTAATTGCTGCTTAAGGTCACGGGAAACCACCTCATCACATGTTTCAATTAGAAAATTGCCAGCATCGTTCATGGCAGTGTGCTGCTGAATCCAATGAGGCAAATTTCGGAAAAAATCCTAAACAAGGAAGAATGCACACTTTTGTAAACCATAAAGCAAATATTAATAACTGATATGAAAGTGAGCAAACTAGGAGAAATATCTTTGTTCTAAAATTTGGGCAAATTTTAAGGTAAATCTTAAATCTCTTTCAAAATGCAAAATTTTAATAACTAGAAATACTGAGTGTCTTTTTAGCAGAACATCTCTGCCATATCTTTTGTTGAAGACAAAACAAAAATGACCATTTTCTGTTATTCCTATTTTACAGATGAAAAAGCTGAATTTCTGTTAAGTACAAGAGACTTGTGCATGGTCTTCAGGCTAGTAAATACCAGTGCCAGAGTCAAATAAAAAGGCATAATATATTAGAAAATTACATAGCTTTCTTAAAAATTTTTAAACAAATTTTGACCTGTTATTTTTGATTTTAAATATAGTACATTAAGATAATTAACTATCATGGAGATTAACCCCAAAGGAAAAATATTTTAAATTAAATATCTGGGTCAAGAACACTTAATACAATAACATCCTTTCTTATTGGTTTAAGGGTACACACTTGGCAATAAGACAGTTTCAACTCATTTCAAATTAAATGCATGTGTGCATGAGCAGGCACGCACACTCATACATCACAGGAAAAACCAAGGATACCAAAGATAATTCAAACTCTATTTCATAAACCATGTGTGGGAGGACTTCCTACATAAATAGATGAGAACACTTCTGTTTCTGGTGGTTATATTCCTTTGGATCAAATTAACACATATGACATCTACTAGGGCACTGCCAGTCTGATAAGAAAAGCCAAAATCTGTATGAGTAAGTAGTTATTGCCTTCCTTAGCTACACAAGAATACGTAATCTCTATGAAATAAAGAATGATAAATTATTTTAAGACAAAACATTTACTGGTACAAACAAAAATAGATGAACCAATCTTACATGGCAAGGAGGAAAAAAGAAACTAACATAGAGATGAAGAATTTGAAATGCGAATCTAATTTATGTACTGTATTTCCATTCTAATTTATGTACTGTATTTCTTAACGGGAAACTGACATTTTAATATCTTTTACTAATAAATTGATTTCCATGTGCCAAGCTCCCAGTAAGAAGTATATGCATGGAAATCAGTCCATTTAATGTGATATTTACATATAAGTGACATTAAAGTGAAACCATAACTCTCATTGCATTACAGACATGTGTAACTGGAAAGAAAGAAAAAAAATCACTCCTACCCAGAGTGAGACCCTTGACTGAGGGTTGATAGGATCTAAAAATGAATAAATAAAGAAATAAAGATGTGATGGTCTAGCTGTTCAGCTGTTGTATGCTGCCACACACAGCCAAAGCTGTTTTTTGTCTTCTACCGAATTAGTAAATCCACAGTCTGGGGCCCTAGAAAGGCTCTTCCGGTACAGACCTCAGTGTGAGTACAGCGCCCTCTGCTGCCTGTTGAATTTGGCCGACCCTCCATCAGTTACAGATCTTCGGAATGCAAAAGTCAAATGCTGGACTGATCAGGTGGGGAACTGTTTTAACAGAGCTTTTATTAAGCGCTGCACTTACGGGCCTAAAATAATTTATGAACCTGAAAGTGCAACTTTTCAGGCAAAATCAGGATTTTTGAGTCACACTTGCAAATAGAAAACTCCCTAGTGTACTATGCAGCAAATTCTCTCATTTTTAAATCCACATAATGTCTTTTCTTTTTGTATGAAATGAGCTTACCTTTTTAGCATTTTCTGACTGATTTAGCATTTTTTCAGCGTCCTCTAGCCAGGCTTGAAGACTAGCCACGGTATTGCTGTAGCGATCCCAGTTAGAAATCACTTCTTCCAGCATGCTCCTCACGCTCCTAACTTCTACAGAGAGATTCCTCCACTGAGCAGTGGTTTCATTCATGAATTTCATTACATTCTCAGCTTCTTCCACTAAAACAGATAAAACCAATTGAAATCCTTATTTTATATTTTAAAGTCACCATCCCTTTTTTCTATGGTCTTATACACTGGTGTGCTACACTGGCAATCACAAATGCCAGAGTTCATTTTCAACAAATACGATTATTTACAAAATGAAAACAAACATTATTTTATAAATTGTACCTTCACACTTAGTCTCTCATTTACTTGATTATGATATTCAAGTTATTCCATTTTTTGGTCTTTAATCCTTAGAATTAAAAATAGTTTGAAAAATTGCAATTTAGAAAATGAATGCTGATTTTGCTCTCACTTAGAAGATCACACACATAAACTGACACACTCACACACTGATGGAGTTTGCATGGATTGTCCTCCCAGAACTCATGTGGAAATTTGATCCCCAATGTGGCAGTGTTGGAAACTGATTAAGTCATGGGGCCAGATCCCTCACGAATGGATTAATGCTCTCCCTAGGTGGGGGGAGTAATGAGTGAGATCTCACTCTATTAGTTCCCGCAAGAGGTGGTTGTTTAAAAGACCATGGCACCTCCTCTCTCTCTCTTGCTTCCTCTCACCATGTGAACTGCTTGTACCTGCCACTGGCTGCCGTGTTCTACCATAAGTAGAAGAAGCCCAAGGCCTGCACCAGATGCAGCTGTCCGAGAATCATAAGCAAAATAAACCTCTGTTCTTTATAAATAACTCAGTCTCAGGTATTCTGTTATAGCAACACAAAATGGACTAATACAAACACACACAGAAATAATGATTATGTAGGTTAAGCATTGCACAAAGTCAAGGCGACTGAATCCAATATGTGCTCTCTAGGTTTATGGCATGGTCACACAAAGACTGTGCAGAGAAAAGAAATGATCTGATCACACAGAAACCTGCAGGTTCTAAATTCTACTACATTTAGCACTGCAACAAGTTCTCTAGCATGTTTTACCTGAACCATCTGCTTTGACATACATCTCAGCTGTCTGTTTCAAGATCTGGTATGTCACTTCGTATTGTTCAAAAAACTTGCTGTTTTCTATAAAAGACTAGAAAAGGAGCAATGGTTAGAAGGTAGCAACATTAGGCTTATGCAGAAATGCCAAAGTCAATTTTCTTCCATATAAGTATATGGATATGTTGCCCAAATTTGCCAACCTTACTCTTCTTGAAAATACAAAACTAATTTCACTGCCACAAATAACCTAAGATTATTCTGAGCATATAAATTGATTCCACACTTTTAATTTGAACTCAGAACTAGATTGAGAAAATATTCTGTTTCTTTACCACCCAAGGGTTTGCTCTTTGAAGAGACAGAAGTTTCTCCAGAGAACCTGTGCCTAACATTTAGAAAGCACTAAATTTGGAAGAACATTTTAAAGTGTCCCTCTGTGTTTCAGCTGTGGGATTCTGTTGCTCTTTGAACATAAATCTTGTTGAATGACTGCTCTGAGGAATTTCAGATTATAAATAAATGACACAGTGCACACGCACTTTCCTGAAAATAAAAAGTAAGTAGAAAAATGTAAAATAATCACATATTCCATCCGTGTTATCAAAGGTCTTATATTTAATTATTTAGTATAAAAATTACAGATAAGACATGTTTATATCTACATCCATATGTAATTTACATGTGTAATAGAGCCAATGGATACTATAAAATTGAGAACACATACAAAATCGTCAGGTAAATTTTATTGTTGTTAACTTCAAGAAATATGAAATAACTCCTATTTCAAAGATTATTCTTACTCTTCTAAAGTAGAAAATGAATGCAATTATAGTTAACAACATATCACCAAATGCTGTTTAATTTAACAGTATACTGAGTTCCTCTGATTTGAATCCATTAAAATACTTGATGTGTCACTATCACGAAATGCAAAATTAGCCTTTAAAAACCAACTGAAGTCCTATATAGTATGCTGATGAATGCACAATAGGAAGATGCAAAAGGCTGGTGTGCACGTGTAGAAAACTATGCATACAGCAATTTCATAGACATCCCTAGATTTCTACTAATAAACGATTATCATGTTTCAAGATAACATTTAAAAAAGTATATGATACATTTCATATCATTTTCTGTTTATAAAGCATTTATTTATAAGTTAACTATGCTTCAGGGACAAAGTGAAAAGAGAAAGCTGTGAGCTACCTGCAATGAGAGATTCCATGATGAGTACTATATTCAGTAACTATAATAGGTTTTTTAAAATTTTTATTTGAGAATTAAGAAAGACATTAGTATTGTGGTTAATCCATTATTTAGCCTATGTCCTGTTCCTACACCCCAGTTGGGGGAGGAGAAATTTATTGAAATTTAAATTTTGAATAATTTAACTGAACAAGCAAGTCATGATTTGAACAAAAATGGAAAAATATACCTAATGTTCAAGACACTGTGTAAGAAATAAAAGAGATAATTACATTTAGCAAAGTTTAAAAAACAGTCTATATTTAGTTTTGATGCAAATTTCAAGAAGCTAATGGGAAAACGATTGCTATAAACGTCCAAGAAATGGGAAACAGTGCCTGTGGTACAAAGGAAGACAAGCATGCTTTTGCAAGAGTAATTTACAAATCAATTAAAAATGAATGAGAGAGAAAAGCTTATTTCTAGTTTCATTTTTGGGTGGGAGAGGAGGATATTTTAAGAATATTATAAATGTAGGGATTCATTATTTTTGAGCTTTCCTATTATTAGAAAGACTAGGGAATTAATTTTTGAAATAAAATATCTTATTTGTTATTTTAATTTTTTATCGATCCATTTTTTGATGTGGCCCTTTTTTTTTCTGAGTATGGACTAAATGCATTTAACAATATGAATTATTTTGTTTATTAGAATCACTTTAGCAGGAGAACTGCTAAATCATTTTTACTGTAAGCTATCTAGCCAAACCCCTCAGAAAAAAATGCAAAAGTAAATACAAATGTATATTTAAAATAATAATGGCAGGATTACTTTATTTCTTTCAGAATAAGACTAAAACTTGAATATAAAATTGAACAAATAAGCCATGTTGGTCAGGGGACTTTTAAAGTTGATGATACTTCAAGAAAAAATAAAATACCTCTTTTTGAATTAAAATTCAAAATGCTAGTCGAGATGACTAAATTTCTACTCTCACAGGATGAATATAGATATAATAAATAAAATATCATAAATTTCACTTGAAGGGAGCTAGACAAGATTATTTAAGGTTTTTAAAATCAACTTTGAGGAGTAGTTTCATCAGGATTGTCTATTTAATTTAATAAAATAATTACAAATAATAAAATAGATATTAACATTATTTATGTGGCATTCACACAGTCCACAGTTCTGAGAGCTCTTCTTTCCCTTTATGTAAAAGATTGAAATGTTACCTTATTTTTTCCATAGTAAAATTGATGCATGTGTCCACTAACATGGTATGGTCATTATCAACAATTCTGAGAGCAAGAACCAAACCAATTTTTCTGATTTGCATTACAGCATGTCATCACTTGCCTAAATTAATTGCAACAAGCATTTGTGAAGTATTTTCTAAGAATTCCTTAAGCACTCAGGGGCTGCATATCCAAGCTGGGAAGCACATTGTCCAGTTCTCTAACCCTGAAAAAAAAATGTATTATCTTCCTTTTCTGCAGATAGATAAGACTGAATTGAGAATTCAGACTAAGGATGAGATAACTATGCCGTCTTAATAGACTGAATATGACTTTGGTTATTAGATGATATAGCCGCATATGGCTTATTGTAATATTTTTTTTTTTAGGAACTACGAAAAGGATTACATTTTAAGACTGGCTTTATAATTTTGTTTGAAAGTCTTCATGCTCTTCAAAATAGTCTCTTTGAAAGAGAAAGATTTTCCCAAAAACTGCAAAAAAGAGGCTCTATGGGATGTGACATAGAAGAAAAGCAGGATGTGCTTCTTTGTTTCTCAGAAAAAATTCTATTATATTATTATCATTATTATTAAAAATTTGGGAAAGACTAAGTCTTCTAGAAATTGAGTTATTCACATAGTCACATGGGTATTAAGTACTGGATCATGATTCAAACACTCTTCTGACTCGTGGCTGGTCTTCAACTATTGTCTCCAACCCCACATCAGGCTGCCTCACACATCAATTACAGCAACCATCAGGCTACAGTCCATACATGTAAAATATTGTCCAATATGGACCAGTATTAAGTAGAACTAATATTCACTTGAGCTACATTCTTTAGTTCACTAAAATGCAAGATAACGTATCAATGATTTGGTCTTTTGAGTTAAAAAAATTTTTTTACAGACAATTTTTAAGATAGTAATAGTCAATATTTAAGCACAAGGGCTTTTGACTTGGAAAGATTTAGATTCAAGTTCTGACTCCACATCTTACCATCTGTGCCACCTTGAAAGTGGCACATGGTGCTTCTAACCTGTCTCCTCAGTTTATACAACCATGTGAAAATGTCCAGCCCATATAGGCATCATCAGGATGAAAGATGATACAGGCAAAACTCCTGGTACATGGGAAACACTCAATAACTTAGTTATTAAAATGATTAAACAAAAAAGTGCCTTAAAACCCTTTATGAAAAGAAATGAGCAATAAACAGGTATCCTTAACTCAAGATGAGAATATCAGGAAATGTTCATTACAACATGCTATGTGTGTAGGGTGATTAGTAATTTTACAAATAATTGTGAAAGTTACCAAGCTGTTTGAAATAAGCAGCTTAGTAAACTTCTCTTTAACTTTACGGAGTAGGCAGGAAGTGCTGACTTTTTTTATTATTAATAACAGTTCCCTATATATCCTTTGAGAAGTTCAAAGAGAATTATTAACATCATTGTATTGGAACATTAACCTAGTAGAACAGTGTCATTAGGTGTTTAAGTCTGATTGGCTGTTCTTAAATAGCAAGAACAAAGAATTATTTCTGTATAATTAACTACTGGGCTCAGAGTGTATCATTTGATGTGACTAAACCTAAAAGTATAAATGCTTATCTATAGCTAATATTTAAAGGAATAATGTAATTGCTTGAATCTTAAAAGTTGGATTTTTCATTGCTTTCAAAATAATTTTAAATGAATAAAGGAACATATCGTAACAGATTTCACATTTTTTAACAAATGCTTCCTAGACAATTTTAGTAAATCTACAGAAAGATTTTACTTTCAACCAGTAAATCTTTTTTTTTTAAATACATGTTATATTTAGAAAATGAAATTAAAATGTAGCAAAATATATTATGGTTCTAAGATGCTTCAGTAAAGTATGATTTGAATAAGTGATCAAGCACAATATACTATAAAGTCACTGTGACCATTCAGGTTATAAATGAGCTGACATTTTACAAGTTCATTGATTTATCATTTAGAATTTGTGTTTCAACATAAAGGAAGAATAGAGGACTGAGATGCCCTATTAACATTAATTTTATGAGCAAATTTGTGCTGCAAATAAATTTGTTTAATCGATGAAGAGAAATAAACTGCCTTTAATAAATATAATACACTAATTACATGTAAATGGAAACTGCTAGTTACAGAACAACCTAATTCTTTCACTATCTATGTAGATATAGGATTATATATCTTGATGTCCCAAAATATGAGGGACTCTACAAATTAAGTTGGCACAAAGATATATAGACAAAATTTCACTCTTCTTGGGTGCACAGAAAGAGAAATGAGGCTCAGGGATGAGCATGAAAAAGGCACTCTAGACCTAATCTAAAAAAACAGTCCCCATGTGTACAATTGAGAATTGTTCTAAACTACTGTTGACTGGATTTTAGAAGATGCAAAGATAATCTCAAGTATTTTAATTCAGTTTCAATGGTGAACTCCAGTCAAAGTCATGGGTATATCATGCAAAAACTTTTTTTTTCCTTAAGTAGTAATGTCAATCATAATGGTTCAATATGATTAATGCAGCAAAATCTCTCTAAACTATAGGGTTTTAAAGAGTGAAATTCTAAAGAATATAGGTTTATATTTCAGATGATTATGAAAAGCTCATAAAATTACATCTAACCCATTTAACACAACAGTACCTTTATGTTTAAATTCAAGATTAAAATAGCATCAAATTGGTAGGTGTAAAATGCTAAATCCACGGGTCGTCTGATTTCTCTGTCAAAGCCCCAGGGACTTACAATGTAGTTTTGCAGAAGAAGCTCCACAGACTCTCTCCTCCCGTACTTGATGATCCAAGACTTCAGCTTTGACTCTGCAAGAACCAGCAGTGAGAGCAGACGGTACTTTAATTCTAGAAATTCCATTTTCATTAAGTGTAGCTCTGATGTGGAGGAAACAAAATGAAACCTAGAAATAAAACACCGAGAATTTACAGAATGTAACTAATAGTAACAGAACGATGCTTACTTAACCTGTTACATGCCAGCCTTAAATATAATGTAGCCATAAGGTCTTCTAAACTCTGGCTGATTACTATCTGGAGATCTAATTCCTTTTCTACCTCTGGGTTTAAAGGCAAAACATGATTGATTGAAGTCTTTGATTTAGTTCTTTTCCCTGCCAACACATCTCTCATCTTTTTCTTTTATAAGCTGTTTTTGCAATATTACATAATGTTCCTTACAGTGCTGAATAAAAATACAGCCTATGAAGAAACCATCTCTGTGATTTCCAGGCTGTGGGTACATTCGGGTTCACTCATTGCAGTTAATAATATATTAGGATGTTGGCATTCTTAGTATATGTTATGGGAGCCACTTTTTATTTACCAAATATGAGTATCTTTGTAAAAAAACAAAAAAACCCACACAAAACAATTCATTGAAAAGAAAAGACATGTAAAAAGCATCCACCAGCATTCTAAAAAGAGACTTCATTTAAAACCATTCCCTTACCTCTCGGCCATGTCCTCTAATTGATCAGGTGGCACTGGGATCCCATTAACAGACCTGGTCCGGTAGATTTCATGGAATGCTCTTTTGTGGGCATCTGTGTTTTGAAGCAGATCCTAAGACAAAATTTTAAAAAAATAAAAAATGAGGAAACATGTTCACAGGAGGCTAAGAAGCATAATTTTCAGCCTGCACGGATGAGTCAATGTATTCAACAACTTGATCCTGCTGCCACATTCATATGCAGCTCAGTGCCTATTACAGGCTTTTACCTTGAACAAGAGCCAGGTGCTTCTGTACAAGACACTATGCTAGAGCAGTGTCTAATAATTATGGCATCTTTTAAACACACATGACACTTGCACAGCAATGTATTTAGACATTTTAAAGGCACATGATCCAAAGGAAAATGTAATTATTGCTATAAACAATTATTTTAGTATTCTTCCTCCATCCTTGATTTTGGATATGTTGGTTTTTAGAAGTTTAAAACTAAGCATAACAAATTTAACCCTTTAATGGTAAAAGATATTAGATTATTTTTTAAAAAATTTTAATTGACATATATCGATTGCACATTTTTACGGGGTAAGCAGTAATGCCGAGTTATATTTCAATACATGTAGACAATGCGTGATGATATTTTATTTTGAATATGTGTGGGCTATTGCTATAAAGTAATATTTGTTTGCCATCTAAAATGTTAATTATACAACAACATACTTTGAAAATATCCCTTTGTTTAGAAAAATTCAAACAGGTGCAGGGAATGTCCCATAGCACAGTAGAAAGATAAAATGTGATGTTTAGAAATATTCTTTACACTCTGTATAGAACTCTGAAGGTTGGATTCATTTATTTAGGTTAGTATGATCTTCCTTGATTTGTTTGCCACATTTTTCACCGTCCACAAACTTACTTATAAAAAGACATACATGTATTTCACCCCTAGCCAATTTCTTGCATGGAAGCAAGGAAATAGTGAGGTGAAAAGAGATTCATGAAGGATTTGATGGACTAATTGGAGAAAATATAAGCAAAAAACCCTAAAATCAAAAGAGACACACTTGATAAAAGAAACAAACGAAGGCACTTACATCATAAATTAGTTTTAAGGTCCATATGTGTTTGTCCACATAAATTACATCTTAAAGCTGTAGAAAACTTTAGGGCCAAACTGCTTCTCTCCTGATATATTTTGCTAGATCATGTTTTGACTTGCTCTGAGTCTGTAGGTAACTTCACAGATATTCACAAGTGATTTGTACCCAAATGGGGGTTACTATGGGCAACCAAGAGCCAATGCCAAGAGGATAGAGGACTATTCTTAGAGTAGCTATTGATGATGAGTATTTTAGTTACTCTCCATCTCCTTTATTACATCCAGACACATGTCTATCATTTATGGTTTTGGTGGAAACTCCCCCAAGTGACTGCAGAATAAACCTGAAGCCATCACCACAGCTAATTCTAATTAGTTATATGTGACAGTTTTTAGTATCTAGTGTATTGAAAAAGTCTTTACAAGATACCAAAATAAACAAACAACATTTTCAGACAAATGATAAAGGAACTTCTGCAGTTGACTTGATATCACTGATTCCTCTGAAAGGTCCTTTTGCTATAAAACAGCAAACATATGATTTTAATGCACTTTGCTGGGAATCACAGCAAGTAAGTGAAATCTTTTAAGTTTCTCATTCTCAATAAAACATGACCCAAAACTAGATCACAGACCTGTGAGCAAAAGCAAATAGAAAAAGCCAGATAGTCCTGGGCAAGTATCTATACCATTGCTGCAGGAGATAGAATCTTAGAATATGAATAAGTTGAGAAACTAAAATGGGATCTCTTCCATTTAGCCAGAACCCTCAACACGGGCTAACTGGCCCACTTTTAGCAAATGCAAATACAATAGAAGGAAAGCAAAGATCACCAACCACAGGAAACAAGTCACCATGAATAGGAACCAGCAGAAACAAAGTTATGATACTAGAAAAATGTTGGAAATTTGATACTTGACAAAAACAGTATTTAAATTAGAAAAATAATCTGGACAAAGTGTTCTTAATTTCTTATATCTATTAAGAGGAGATTTAGATATTGATTGACTTTCAATTTTGTTAGTATCTATGGTCAAATTTCAAGGGCAGTCATAGTGCACAACTGGACTTTATAATGGGCAAACCAGCAGGGGTAAAACCATGGTGTAAGAAAAATGAGCAAGCCAAAAAAACAAACCTAACCTCCTCAATCAATTTATTAAAAAGCAAAAAATTAGGGGGGGGGGAAGGCAGGGCAAATAGACAGTAAAGAGTTAGATGGTAGAAACAAATTCAAGTATATCAATAAGTGTGAATGTTATATAAATTTCCTAGTTAAAAGACAGAGATTGTCAGATTGAACAAACCAAACAGAACCATCTACTTTTTATAAGAGATACACCTAATCATTAAGAACATGGATAGGTGGAAATTAATAGAATGAAAAACAACATGTCAGGCAAATACTAACAAAAAGAGACCATATTAGTATCAGACAAAATAGATTTCAGAACGGAAATTGTTATAAATAATAATTTTAATAAGCAATAATTCTTATAAGTATTAATTGATTAATGATGAAGCTTGCAACTTAGTATAAGATATTTTAATGCTGAGCTTAAACATTCTTATTAAGCCTCAAAATATATAAAGCAGTAACTGATAGAATGACAAGGAAAAACAACGAATCCACATCGCTGTGGGAGTTCTACCTCTCTCAGTGATGGAGACAGAGTGCAGGGAGCAGGTGCAGTAGCAGGTGGTGTGGTAAGAAGGGCAGCAGGAGGGAAAGAGCTGCAGAGGGGCCTTTGTAAGAACTTTTGTGTTTATTTTGAGTAAATGGAAGCCAGTGGAGCATTTTGAGCAGAGTGCTGAAATGATCCAAGCTGCATTTCAAAAGAATGGCTGTTGCTAGTCTACTGAAAATACCCTGTCCTTGATACACTTGCTTCCTTTGGCTTCTAGGACAACAGAGTGGCTGGATTTCCTCCTACCTCACTGGCTGGGCCTCCTTTGGCTTTTGCAGGTTTATCTTCTACTCTTTGATCTCCTAATATTGAATTCCCTTGGGACTCAGCCCTTGATCATTTTCTTTTTTCCACCTATACTTATTTAATTTCTTCAGTCTCAGAGATTTAAATATCCCTCTATATGTCAATGATCTGAATTTTTATCTCCAGACCACACATCTATCCTGAACTCCTGCTCTGTTACTTCCTACGACGTATTCCACATGTCTGTTTGGGTGAGAAAAAGACTTATCATTCCCCAAACTGGTCTTTCCTTCCAAACCTGCTTCGTTGTCTCCCCATCTCAACTCATGAAACTCCACTTTTTCAGTTGCTTAGCCCAACAATTACAGCATCATTTATGACTCCTCTTCTTTCACAATTCATATCTAATGCTGAAAATTCTGTTAACTCTGCCCTCAAAATGTATTCAGACTCTGACCATTTCTCATCATCTCTACAGCTCCCACCTGGCTTCAACCACTCTACCTGGATTATTGCAATGGTGCCCTGGCTTCTACCCTTCATCCCTAACCTAGTCCCTTCTCACATAGCAGCCAGAGAAATACCATGGAAACATTGCTGTTCCTCTTCTAAGAAAATGGATGAGAAAAGATGGTTAGGGCATGACAGAACAATTAACAATGTCAATGTGCAATTAATAAAAGTACAAAGAAACAATACTGGGAAAAAAATTGTGGCTTAACTACAGGCCCAGAAAAGATTACAAAATATATTTTAAAAAATTTTGGGGGCTGGCCCGGTGGCACACTGGAGAGTGTGCCGCTTGGGAGTGCGGCGGCGCTCCCGCCGAGGGTTCGGATCCCATGTGCAGACCGGTTCCCGCTCACTGGCTGAACGCGGTGCGGGCGCGACACCGAGGGTTGCGATCCCGTTACCAGTCAGTAAAAAAAGACAAAAAGGAAAAAAAAATTTTTTTTTGAACAACTTTATGCCCATAACTTTTAAGACTTATTCAAATGGACAAATTTCTAGAAAGCATGACTCAATATTGACTCAATTAAAATTTTGAGAGTCTGAATATGGGGATACAACAGTGAAAAAAACAACCATCCTTGCACTTATGGAGTTGACAAGATAGCACAGGAAATCAAGCAATAAATAAGATAAATAATTAAAACAGATGACAGTTGAAATGATGATAAATTCTAGAGAGAAATATCAAACGAGAAAGGGGGATAGGGAGTTTTGGAGAAGTTGTAATTTCAAAAGAGTTGGCCAGGAAAGGGTTGACTAAGAGACGACCTTTCAGTAAAGGCCCCAAGGAGATGAGGAATAATGTAATGGGAATATCAGTAGGAGAATGTTTTAGCCAAGGGAAGAGAGAGAACTTTCCAGAGGTTTGGCAAGGGCAAAGACCCTGAGGTGGAAATGTGCTGGCCTGTTGGATGTCATCTTTCCAGTGAGATTTTGCTGACTGCCCTGTTTAAAAGTGCAACACAACCTAATACCCCCTGGCCTTTTACCTTCTAACCTACACTTTTTTATTTCTTATATTTATTAGTTTTATCTGCCTCCTCCCATTAGAAGGCCAGTTACCTAAGGGCAGGGATTTTTGTCTGTTGTGCTTTTGGGTTTATCACAAATGCCTGGAGCACTGCTTCTTGCAGAGGGTGAACAATACACATTTCTGTTTCTCGAAGGACTAGAAGGTATAGCCAGGAGGGAGGAAGGAAACTAGGAAACCAAATGAAGAAAGTGTCTCAAGGATGAGGGAACGATTATGTAAGATGCTTCTGACAGGTGAGGGAAGATGAGGACTGAGAACTGGTCATTGGTGAGAACAAGTGAACCTGATAAACTTGGTCTGGGTAGCATGGAAGGGAAAAGCTCGACTGGAATAGGTTCTAGAAAGAACAGCGAAGAAACTTTCAAAGCAAAAACGAGAACATAGACAACTTTTTTCAAAGTGCTTTGCAGTAAAAGGAAGGAGGAAAATTAGACAGTAGCTGAAAGAGGAAGTTGGGTTAAGAAAGAGACTTGAGATGAAAGAAGTAATAGCATACAAGGGTACTTCACAAAGTTCAGGGAAAGATTCATGTC